GCTTGCAGCGCGCTGAAGACGTCATTGGTATATGGAATGAGGTAGGTCGGTAAGAAGACAGCCGGTGGAGAGGCAAACACGTCAGTGTCAGGACCCTAACCGAGCTGTTGACAGGAAGCCTTCCATCCAGCCTTGAAGTAAATGTCCTAGGTGGCGAAGACCTGTTTCTTGTAGTTTTCCTCGGCTTCGTTGAAGCTGGCGTTATTGGCGTCCTCGCAGTCTTTTTTCCTGGACTTCTTAAGCGCGTCAAGCTCGGCCTGGAGCCCATCTTTCTTTTTCTCGGCTGCTTCAAGTTGGCCGAGCAGCCTGTTGTTGTCGGAATTGGCGGCTTCGAGCGAGGACTTTGCTCGGCCAAGCTCGGTTTGGAGGCTTTCGACTTGGCTAGCGGTATCACTTGCCTTCTGCTGAAGTCTGTGGATGCGCTCCATGACCAAGTGCTACTTTTGGATGACCTGCAAAATGAGAATTTGATCAGAGAAGAAACCGTGCAAACACTTGTGAAAATTGAAGCAGAAGATTAAAATTCTTACCCTGGTCATGGACTTCACGGCGGATTTGACCAGCCAGGTGTCAGGAATGTGGTCGCTGCCAACCACATCGCTGGGTAGCAGCAGAGCCTTTGAGAGGTCGAAGGCAAGCAAGTGCTCCTTGTCGCCTTTGACCGAAGCATTTGCCGGGATCTCTTTGCCCCGGTGCTTTAGCTGCGGCCGCTATGCTGGGATGGGGCTGACCGTGTCGGTAGGTTGCTCGGTTGTTAGTTCGGCGACGAGCTCGGCAGAGGGATCTGCCCGTGGTCTTTTGCCAGCCCGGTGTGTTTCTTTGCTAGATTGCCCGGCGGCTGGAGAAGCTAAGGCGACCACGGCGACACTTGATTGACCGGCAGCCGGGGAGCGGGCAACGACGCTCGGTATCTCGGTCGAGGTTGCAGTGAGAAGGTTTTTGATTCGGCTTCTTTTGGCCATTTCTTGTTCGTCTGTCAACCGGATTAAGGGGACGTCAGGAAGGGTAGGGTCTGGAGGTGGCGATGGAGCACGGAGGAAGTCTGTTACTTTACTCCGGCGCGGAGCAGAGTACCTGTAGGTTGGGGTGTAATCGAGCAAATCGTTGCAATCTCGGTGGCTGTAGCAGAGCACGGTTCGGATGACCTCAACGTTTGGATAATGATAGTTGACTTGTAAGGCTTGAATTGCTGCAAAAGAAATGAGAAAAATGGTTAAGTACAGAATAATGGAGATAGTAAGCTAACCGAGCAAGTTTGCGCAGCTTACATGTGGAACCGAAGTTCTTGCTTACGAACCAGCCCGGTACCTCGGCTGTTTCGTAATTACCAGACACCCAGAAGAAATCGTCGTCGTGCAAATCCTTGTCCGGTGTGCCGGTCACAATTTTCTCTTTGTCCGACCTGATCTTAAGATAGTAGGCGAGGCCGTCGCCGGTATGACCAAGGGTGTACTGCCGCAGTATCTCGGCTAAGCCTAAGTTTGTGCCTAGCCGGTTGTTTAGTTCGTGCACACCGTTTATTATCCAGTAGGTGTTAGTGGACACTTGGGTGGGTGCTAGCCCGGTTCGGCACAGGAACTCGGCAATTAATGGATTGAGTGGGAAGCGCAGGCCTCCTTCGATGATAGACAGCACGGTGAAGGGGCATTGTTCTGGTCTGCCCCAAGGCGTTGTCTGTTGTGCTACAAGTTCAAGATGGACGTCGGTCGGAATGCCATACTCCTCCCTGAACGCAGCCAGCGCGACCGGAGTATCCACTAGGAAGCGAAATTTCCCTATTTGTGGCTGGCCTAGGATAGCTCGGCTGAGGGGTTTGGCACTGTGGTAATTGGTTGTTGCTCGGCCTTGAGAGCCTCAGGAATGGACAGTGGTCCCCTTGGACTCTGCAGGAAAATGATGGCAAGTGTAAGTGTGAGCGCGGTCAGTTTGAGGACTTACCAAGTTAGGGCAGTGCGTTCTCCACCTTGGAGCTCGAGTTCAGGAACGGCAGATGATGGGCAAGAGCTCTGTGAAGCTTGATAAGCAAGAGAGGCAGTAAGAACGGAAGGAAGAGGGCAGGGGCATGTATATAAAGGGTAAGAAACCGCCCAAATTCAAATTTGCAAAGACGGCTGGGTTAGCCGCTCGAGGGCGAATAGAAGGACGACACGTGTTCCCATTAATGCAGCGTCAGTTGAAGCGACATGAAGGTCAGGCGAGACGACGACCAAGGAGTCAACCGGGCTGGTCTTGAAGACAGGAATGAAAAACCGAGAAATTGAACCGGGCAAGTTCTGAAGCCAGGAATAATAACCGACCTGATCGTCATTCTGCAAACTGCGGATCGAGGAAAAGATTATCCCGGTCAGTATAGGTAATCCCAGTCACGCTCGTGCGGACAGAATTAAGGGGCAATTGAGAGGGAGATTAATGATCTGGTATTGGGCCGGACAGATCTAGGCCAGACAGAGTTTTGCCGGACAGATTTGGGTCGGGCAAGTGTTGGGTCGAGGATGTGTGGCCCAGTTTGGAAAGAAGTTGCTCGATTAAGGCAACGCTTGGTTGGACCGAGCTACATGTTTGACGGAGGCGAAGCCAATCAAGTTAAGTGACTGGCGCCCGGAAAGGCGTGGTCAGCCGAGGTACCTGTTTGCTCAGCTTTGTCGAGATGTTGCCTAGCCCGGTCCTTATTAAGCTTAGCTAGTGGAGTGCTTGGACATGAAGCACAGCACGACCGTTGGCGGACAAGATAGTGCAGCTCGGCTGCTGAGCTCCCAATAGAGTGAGCGGGCAGTTGAGATTAGGTGACGCTCAGCAGGATTTGTGCTGACAGATGGGATAGCAGAGCCACATGTCGAGGGACCATTGGGAGCAGGTTTGGGACGCAGAAGGGTATATAAGTATGTCTGCGCCCCCATACCAGTGGGATGAACACTTTGTAAGGAACTCTTACACTCAAACACTCTCTCTCTCCTCTCCCTAAGGTGTGTGCTAATTAGATCGTCGGAGGGGTTTTTCGGCCACATATCGCCGGGTAGCTCACCCTCATTGTGCTTTCAGGTGATCGGACAGAAACGGAGCTTGGAAGAAAGGAGTATGGGCTTGCTGAAATATTTGCTCCCCGCACAAAATATATATAAAAAATAAAGAAATAATATGATTAGATTGTCAAAATAGGCCTAAACTTTTAAAAAAAACAACCGTGCTGAGACCCCCAGTGGAGGTGACCTCAGCACCCCCAACACGACGTGCTTTGCTCTCAAGCCTTTGGCAAAAAAAAAAAATTTGACCAATCAAACCCCAGTGGGGGTCACCCCAGGAGGGGTCTGATGCATTTCCAAAAAAAAAAAAAATCAATTTTCAAAATATGCTTCTTTCTACTTCACAGGAGCCATTTTTTTATTAGGTAAATTACACTTTTGTGTATTTTATATTTTGTCATTTGTTTACTTTAGTTTTTAAATTTTATTTTTTTATTTGGACTTTTTATATTTTAAAATTTTTTGATTTATTTTTAAAATTATTTTCTGTTTAAAATTAGGCAAAAAAGTTATTAACTACCACATAACATAAAATATATTATTATTAGAATTTTGGTTTGTGTCAAAAATGTAAATTATATATAATAGAATATTTATTATGTCACATGATTATCAATGCATCATTTTCTGTTTAATTTTGGATAAAAGTTAGTTTTAGAAGTAAATTAAAAAAACATAAAATTTGAAGGGTCAAAGTGAGAAAAAATAAATTTTAAAATTCAAAATGAGAAAATGACAAAACATAAAAGGGACAAAATGTAATCTATCTTTTTTTTATTTATTAAGAATCTGTTTGGTAAGAGGTTATACTAGTAAAAAAAATCAATAAAAGGTCCCCAAAAAAAAATATTGGTTTTAATTCAATCTACTTTTTGTACTTTTTTTATTATAAAAAAAAAAAAGGTTCCCAAACATATCTGATTTTTTTTTTGTCATATTTTAGTCAAAAAATTAAAAAAATACTCAAATAACCACTTCCCAAATGAGTCCAGTGTTTAGCTAGATACCGTAAGACTTGCTATGAGCCCCATTTCAACGAAACATTTGGTGAAAAATTAAAAATGCTTTTAACATTACTGAAATTTGTAGATTGTTTGATAATTATTACTTTCATTTTTTTTTTTAATTTTAGTTTTCGTTTTTGTCCTAGTTTAGAAATGGAAAAGAAATCTCATAAAAGTGAAATAGACTCTAAATTTTTTAATTTTTTTTAAAAAATGAAATAATTTTTTTTTTTTAAAACAAGTTCCGTCGCTCTTTCCTCCTGTATTACTTCTTACCACCATCCTCCCTAGCTGCTACCGCACTGCCATCCACCACCCTCGTACCATCAGTCACCACCAGTCACTGACCAACCTTCAGCAACCATGATGGGGATGGTCCCAATATCCACGCTAGCTCTGCTCAACTCAAGACTTGCACCTTAATGTTACACAATTTGTCTAGGAAGAAAGTACAAACTGGGGACCCCTTAGGGTTGGCAATTCGGTCATGAAACACCGGAGTGATTCATGACCCTGCACAAGATCACCAAAGATTTGTAGATTGATAATTAGAGTTGAAAGCATCATCAGACTTGTCTGACTCACTCTTGGAGGTGGCTCCACTCTCTTAACCATTGTTGGACAAAAGATAGAAATCTCACACATAACCAACCTGAATTACCAGGCCCTCACGTTTACTGGAGTCTTGGTGAGCAATTATTTCATAAGAGTATTGTGTATCTAAAAGTCAAAGAGAAGAAACCAGGCCTACATCGTTCAGATTATTAAGTTTTAACTTGAAAAAACTCGTCCCAAACAACCCCAAGAGCCACACAGAACCTTCAATTCTTTCATTATGATCTGAACATTGGCTTGAAGACTTGCACCAAGCATTTCTCAATGGGATATGAACATCCCTTGTAAAACAAAACCAGTCACAGAAAAGTGAATATAAACATTTATAACCACAATCATTGTCCTCAACCACCAAGTCCACTATATAATGATCTGATATTGCTTTATAGGAAACTCATTATTATAAATTCTATATCAATACATACCATACACAAGAAAGTTGGCGCACACATTGCAAAACCATCACAATTAAAAAAATCACAATTAAAAAAATCCAAATTTTTACATCAATCCAATAGCAGATGAGATGCGAAGTACATACAATACATTAGAATACACCCCATCATAATTGCTTTATTATGCAACTTCCCTCAACAAACTACCCTTCAGCACTTAAGTGATTTTCAATAGTTTCTTTATATCCTTCTGCAAGGAAAAACAAAACAAACGATAAATTTTATGTCAGCTGTAGAATTGTAGATGCATTTCTAAGTTAAAATAGGTGGATTATGGTGCGCACAAGGAGGTTTTACCTCAATGCTGAGTGGAGAAGTAGTGGGAGCATAACGACCAATGACATTCCCATCTTGATCTGCCAGGAATTTGGAGAAATTCCACTTAATTCCATCACCAAAAAATCCACCTTTACTTGATTTTAGGAACTTGTATATTGGAGCAGCATTCTCACCATTCACGTCAACCTAATTTAAACAACAACATGGATGATTGGTAAAAAGCAATCGAAGTTTAAGAACATGTGCTTAGCGTTTTTTTCATTCTCTAGTCATTTCATGTTTGTCGCTGATGAACAAACTAAAATACCAATCTTACAAACCTATCGGACTCTCCTACCTCTTATCACTCATCCTCTCCAAGTAGTGTAGAGACACACCTAAGTCAAATGGTACCAAGTTGAAGACATCTATGATTTAGGAACTCAAGCAACAACAAAAGAATTAGCATTATATGAATCTTACATGTTATCTTTCCCCTGCATTTCCTTAATTTTAAACTTTTAATGAAGTTGTTTGTCATCTTCAAAAACCCTACCCAGATTACTTCGTAGAGAAGAGTGAAACATCATCAGACCACAACCAAATATTCTTTCTCAAGCTTCATTGCCATCAATAGTGGTGTAGAAATTCATATATAAGAAAACCTATCAAATCTTTATAGTCCATGACATTAGAAGTCTTTCAAATTATAGATATGGGCACATAACACGAGTTGAATACCGTTGCTTGTCGTGTGTCTCGAATAACTGATCTATTTAACAGATAATAGGTCTAAAATTTTAATGTCTTCCAACCAAAGATTTCAAAATTTTGAGAAAAGTGACTGTAATATAGAAAAGAAGTTTGCAATACCTACCTTATCAAATATGGGAAATTCAGCCTTAAATCGAGTGCAAGCAAACTCCACTATCTGCTCATTATTCCCTGGCTCCTGGCCACCAAACTGATTGCATGGGAATGCCAAAATCTCGAGCCCTACAATAAAACAAATGTGTAATCAAGCTACCATAGTGTAGAGGCAATCAGGACTACTTTTTTATATTCTCTAATGCTTATCACTCAAAAGAGGCAATACTCCCAATACCGTGATGATACAAGTACAAGTTATAACTCTGTAATTTGAATTGATCAAGCACTAAGAATTTCTATGTTAGCATGTTTATAAAAATAAATGTGCTAAATAACTCAAAACAAGTCAAATCAAACCTTGATCTTTGTACTTCTCATACAACTGGCTCAACTCCTTGTAATTTGAATTGGTCAGGCCACTGCACCAGATAAAAGCTGAACATTAGACAACAAACATTTTTTTTTCCTTTTTACATGAAAGTGTTTTTTCTTTCTCTTTCTTTCTTTTGGTTTAAGGACACTAATAAGTTCTATTAATTGATTCTTTTTCTTTACTAATTTTAGTAATAGTAAAACAACCATAATTGGTGCCACTAACGGCTGCAATGGAAGACAAACAACAGTGTTCAATTTGAAGCCACATTTTAGAATGAAGCAGTCAAGGAATTAAAGCTTAACAAGGTCAAAATGAACTGGAAATTATCAAGCCAATGCTTAACACCAGTCCCGCAGAAAAAGGAAGTACAAAAGCCAGTGAGGAGTTATGTTATACCATTGTGATGCAACGTTCACAATCAACAGGACCTTCCCTTTGTAGATGCTAAGATCCACATCGTTCCCTTTAGCATCCTGCGTAGAAGCAACCTAAATTACATGGAATTCAAAAAAGACAAAACCACCTAGCAGCGGCTACTGCAATCTTTAAAGCAGAAAGTAAAATTTAGCATTAATTCACATCTCCAACATTATTATGTATCCTCCAAATCCTGAAAATTTAAGAATCGTAAAATAGGACAAATAGAAAAAAAGTATATTTTCCTTAGTTTGAAGGATTTTAAATAGTTTGGGTAAAACTCTCAAAATAAATCTTGAAATACATATCTAAACTATCAAATCTAAATTTAAACTACTCTTATTAAATGATTAGTGCAAAATCCTTTATTTCAAACTCATAAAATCCAAACGCAACATCGAAGACCAAACTGTGAGAAGTAAAGAGATAAAAAAAAACCTATCACCTTGTTCCCTTCTCTATGCCAAACAAATTGCAAGTGTGGAAATTGAACCCAGTTACTAATTCCGTATTTGTCATGTAAAAACTTAAACTTAGGGCAAAAGAAACAGAAAAATAAAGAAAAAGACCACAAGACACTTTTCAGTATTCATCAATTTCAACTCTTTTCAACTATTTCTAAAATACTTTTCACCCAAAACCCAGTTACTAATTCCTGATTTGGCATGTAAAAAACCAAACCTAGATCATAAAAATAAGATAAATAAAAAGAAAAGACCACAAGACACTTTTCAATTTTCACCAATTTCACACTTTATACAAATTTCTACTCTTTTGAACATATTCGCCTACTTCTAAAATGCTTTTCACCCAAAACCCGGTTACTAATTCCTGATTTGGCATGTAAAAACTCAAACCTAGGTCATAAGAAAAAGACAATAAAAAGAAAAACCACAAGACACTTTTCAATTTTCCCAAAACACTTTCTACGAATTTCAACTCTTCTCAACAATTGTCAGCAATTTCGAAAACATTTTTGATTCCAATTCTCAAAAAATCTATGTATACACACATACATCTCTACTGAATACACAAAAAAATCAATTACCTTGACGGTGAACTCGTGAACAGATTGGGGCTTCTGGGATGAGGTTGCCATAGAATGATCCGATCTCAAACTACAGAGCACAAGCCTTGTTGAAGTGTTACTACTATGATGATCTAGACCAAAACACTCTGGTTTGGATGGGAAATTAAGCAAAGAAATTGAAGAATTCTGAAGCAAAACGAAATGGGTTTTGTGAGGAAAGCAAGGAAATTGAATTTTTCAAGCTTGGATTTGGTCTGATTAGAAGAGAGCTTCGAGATATACACATGTATATAGATATAGTAGATAGAGAGAGAGAGAGAGAGAGAGAGAGAGAGGGAGAGAGAGAGAGAAGTCAAAGTCAAACTATGAATCCTTGCGCGTGTTGTATGTGTGCGGATGTGTCTAAATCGTTATATCGGGAAGCGTGGGAAGAGATTGTCCACACGTGTTGTGATGGTGTGCTTGATATGGACAGCTTAGATTGGGGGTGTTTGGGAACTGGGTTGGGTTGGGGGGTTTTTTTTTTTTGGGCAAATTACATATACCCCTCGAGGTTTGGTTAAATTACAAATACTTTCCTGAGGTTTAAGAAATTATAAATTTCTTCCTGAATGTTATATTTTCATAACAATTATAGGGTAATTTGTTATGAAATTTAAACCTTGGGAGACAAATTGTTATGAAAATACAAACCTTAGGGAGCGAGATGTAATTTCTGAAACCTTAGGGGTGTCTATAATTTAATCAAATCTCAAGGGAGATATATGTAATTTGTCCTTTTTTTTTAATAGCCAATAAAAATAAAATGGGTAAATTATACTGATACCTCCTGAGATTTATGTTTGTTACAATTTTCTCTTTACATTTAGGAAATTACACTGATCCCCTGTTAATTTCATGTGTGATGATTATTACGGTGAGGAGGGAACTGTTATGAAATTTTAAATTTCAGGAGGCAATCTATAATGAAACTTTAAACCTCAGGAAGGGAAATGTAATTTCTAAAAGGTGAGGGGGAACTGTAATAAGCATAAATCTCAGAGAGTGTCAACGTAATTTACCCAAATAAAATATATTAAAATAATTAATAAAATAAAATATCACATCTAAATTATAATTATTTTATTTTTCTCTCACAATTATTAAATTAACTATAAAAAAAAATCAACTATTATTTGAAACACTACTTTTTTTAATCATATTAAAAGGTTATTTTGAAAAGTTTGTTAAAAAGCTCGTCATTTTGACTTTTTTTTTTTTAAATATATATCCTTTCCATAACTTACAGAAGAAGCAAAAACTCTTTTCAGAAAATTCTACTTTCTTATTTTTTGTGTTTTTTTATTTTTACTGAATTTTTTAATATTTTAAGAAATTTTTTTTTTACTTTTTAGACATACCTAACATAAATATACCTAAAAAGTAAAAAATTTGTGAAACAAACCTTTTAAAAATTCACTAAATGCCAAAAATACAAAAAAAAAAATTTGAGAATTTAGTACATTTTTTGTATTTTTATGTATTTATTAATTTTTAAAAATATTTTTCATAAATTTTTTACTTTTTAGATATATCTAAATAAAGTGCGTCTAAAAAAGTTTAAAAAAATGTTTAAAATTTTAAAAATATTCACTAAAAAAAACACGAAAATCAAAAAACTCGTTTTCAAAAAAATTAATCTAAAAAACTCAAACCAAACATATTGATTCATATAATTCAAAATAATTTAAAAATTAAAAAGCAACTTTTACCCTGTTATCCAAAAGAGGCTGAAATAATTAAAGTAGTTAAATTTTCAAACCAGCCCCATCATTCCCATGAAGGCCCGTGGTTTGGTTTGATAATTGATTTTTAAAATATTTTTTTTTGTAAATTTTAAATTATTTTAAAATATTCTCATTTTTTAAGTTTTATTAAATTAGACAAACTTTAAAAAAAAAAAAAAATCAGCAAAGAAAAAAAAATGATCGATTTTTTTTTAATATTATAGTATTTCTAATCTTTAAACCTTCTAGAGTAGGTAAATTTTAGAAATAAAATATTTGAGCTATATTTTCAAAAAATCATTAAAAATAAAAATATATGACTTATTTAAGGGTTGTTTGGAATGTCCTAAATAAGTGTACTTTTTGTCTTTTTAGACTAAAAAGTTGAGGAAAAAAATATGAATGTTTGAGTTAATTTTTTGACTTTTCATGAAAAATGTGTATTAAAAAATTGTATAAATAAGTGTGTAGGAGAAGATATGGTAAGAGGCCGTACGGAAGGGCAGTGGTGACTGGCTGGGTGAGTAGATGAGAAAATATTGTCTCCTTCTCGGGCTTTGATTGGATGGTGTTGTTTGGCCCGTGAAGGCCCACCACGGATCTCGTTTTTCTGATCGGAACCATCAATGTGTAGAACTCGTCGAGTACTATATGTTTGTAAAAAATCACGTTGATTGGATATCGATAGCTATCTGATCGTGTTAGTTTTTTTTGTTAACTGTTAACTATAACACCATCCATTTTTATACAAAACTGATTTGATCATGTAGTTAGCGATATCCGATAGACGTGATTTTTTATAGACATATAGCACTAGACGAGTGCTACATATTGAACGGTTCAGATTATCAAAATGGGACCTATGGTGAGCCCCCACAGGCCCAACTTTACCATTAAAAAATTTAATGAATATTTTATTATAATTTTTTTTCCCTATCACTGACTCCACCATCACTTCAGTACCAATCTTGGGATTTTTTTTATTTATATTAATATTTGTATATTATGTTTTTAATATTTTTTTGATAAATAGTGATAATTTTTTAACTTTTTAAGTAATTTTTTGACTTTTTAATTTTTTCAAAGATTGCCAAACCAACCCTTAATCATTACCAAATAGAGTCTAATGATAAATTGATAATGATGATGGAAAGTGGACCCATTGTGACTTGTGGCAACTAGTTGGACAGGGAGGGTTTAGGATGTGAGTGAGGATCCTCTCCTTCCAGCTTCCGTGCTTGCGTCCGTCTTTGCAAGCTTTCGGGTCTACTTTTAGGCCCAATTTTGATAATCTGAACCGTTCATATTTTATGATTTATTCAGTATATCATACCTGTAAAAAATCAAGTTGATCGGATATCAGAAAACATATGTTCGGAAAACTGTTTATTAAATTCTTTAAAAAATAGTGTTTAGTTCAATTTTTCAAACACATACTTTTTGATATCCGATCAACTTGATTTTTTACAGATATGATATACTGAATAAATCATAAAATATAAACGGTTCGGATTATCAAAATTGGGCCTAAAAATAGACCCGAAGGCCTGCAAGAACGGACGCAAGCACAAGCTTGCAAGGAGAGGCTCCTGACTCTTAGGATGTTCTATTCTCACCCTATTTTTGTTCGAAGTGTCGGAGTAGTTTATAATTTTTAAGAGGAAGTGAAATTTTAAATAAGAGAACTGATATAGTATATGAAGGATAGCAAATGATTGAATTATAGGAGTTAAAAATAAGAAATAATAATATGAAAATGAGAAAATATATAAATATTTTAATGCATTAATTTTATCATATTAGGTAAATCATATTTCTCTTAAAGTTTGTTAATTACAGATACATCTCTGTGATTTTAAAAATGATACAGACCTCTCTTATTTTTTAAACTAATATTCAAAGACTCTCTTCTATTACCCATCCGTCTAAAATTAAATAGATTATGCTAATGTCATCCATAATTATTTTACAAATTTCAATACTACCTTTTAGCTACTTAACATATTAAATTAAATTACACTTATCTCCCCTTCATATATATATATGCTCTTACACATATATATAGATATATGGCCCAAAGGTAGATGCTGCATATATATATATATATATATATACACAAGGGAAAATGCGTTGGACCCCCAGTGGGGGTGCTGGGGGTCCTTGCTGATTGGCTGAATTTTTTTTTTTTTTTTTGGACTTCAGCCACTGGCAGTGTGCCGTGTGGCACTAGGGGTCCTTAGCGTCACCCTATACACAAGTCTCTTTTCTTTCCCAAAATCATAGGGCATCGACTATAAAATTGTTTGCTCACGAATGACTTGTAACACTTGACCAAATAACAAATTGAATGGGATCATACCCTAAATGTGTAATACTGTTATCAAATAGACAAGTTTTGATAGGTCAGTGGACTTTACTTGAGAATGTCATTTTGTTCTACACTTGACGGGTTTTAACTCAACAAGTGGTCTATTTTCTTTCCCAAAACCATACGGCACCAACTATAAAATCGTTTGCTCATAAATGACTTGTAGTACTTGGCAGTGACGGAGCCAAGAAATTATATCAGAGGAGGCACTTATTAATTATATTAGATAGAAAGAAAGAGAAGTCAAAGTCAAACTATGAATCCTTGCGTGTATGTATGCGGATGTGTCTAAATCGTTATAGAGTCATGATAGAGACCCCCTTTAATCACTACCCCCACAACCCCCACAGACACGTGGCGGGTGGTGATTGAAGGAGCAGGAAAAAAAGAAAAAAGAAAAAGAAAATGTAACTAATGAGAGAGAGAGGGGGTCAAAGGGGGTGGGGAGAAAAGAGGGCATGAAACATTTTTGAATCGTTATATCGGGAAGCGTGGGAAGAGATTCCAGAAAAAAATAAAACAAATAAAACAATGATTTTTACTTAACAAAAAATACAAAAAATTAAACATTAATGTTCAAAAAAAATGCCCAACATGTAAAAAATAAAAATAAATAAATAAATAAATAGTCCAGTGGACTAATTTCTAATACCAAGTCCTACGGGCCTATCCTAATCCCTTCCCCAAGGGGATTTGTAATCCGGAGGGAATTACGAATCCTCTCTCCATCTCTCAAAACAAACATGATGTTAGTAGGTCCCACCTCACTATGAATCCCAATTCCTTCTCTATAACCCAAAACAAACAGGAACTTATAAAGTTTTTTATGAAATTGATATTTACTTTTGAAGTTGCCATTGATTTGCTATTTCTCCTATTTTTTCACCATTGATCTTATATTGATTGAGGGAGTGTAGGAGAAGGGAAAAATGCATAGCGCATTAATAAAATTCGAATTCAGACTTTATATTTGGTAAGAGAGCAGAAGTTATTTAAAATTTATTTTTTTTAGTGACTTTTTTGTCATATTTAATATTTTCTTTCAAATTTTTTTTTAACTCTTAGAATTAACTTTACTAGCCAAAAAAGTCTTACTAAAAACAAAATAAATAAAAAATCGTTGACTTTTTTTTATACATTTTTTAAAAAAAAAAATTATTCCACACTAGA